TCTTGGAAAGAAAAAACTTTCTATTATTAATCAGGCTCTTTAGGTAATAAATAGATTATTTTGAGTATGACTGTTAGCCTGATTGTAACTGGTGTATTAATATCAATGAGACTAATAACCCCAGGTTACAAATAAGAGGCATGTTTCCTTAGCCCACTTTAACTATGCAGAGTAGCACAACACTATTGAACCAGTTTTTTTTCCCATCATTTATATGTCTAGATTAGATCACAAGACTGAGGCAGAGAGTCCAGCCTCTCCAGAGAAATTTAAATGTCTTTTCTGACACCATGAAAATTTCAGGTTCAGTTACCATATGTGTTAAATGCTGAAGTGTAGTTTTTCCTTTATTCTTTTTGTGAGTATTTGGTTTAAAACAAAAAAGGGGAAAGAAAAAAATCCATTAAAACAGTTTTCTGCAATTAAATATTAGTTTTCATATATCCTATAAACTGGTCTATCAACTGGATATCCTATAGCCAGTGTGGAATTTCACAAAGGTTCCTCAAACTTTGCATGTACTTCAGATTATTGCTATTGAATTAGATTTTCATTTACAGATTTGCTGGATCTGAGATCTCAGTTAGTAAAATTATTAAAAAAAGGATCCAAATTCTTTTCTATGTATGTTTATAAGAAGGAATCCTGAGAGGCTCATATGGTGTTAAACCTAAACCATATTTATTCTGCTAACATCTCAGATTGGATCAATTTGATTTTCTGATCTCTGAATCTTTCAAATCTATAGCCATCTGAAAGATCAACATGGATAAGTTTTATGCTTAAAAGAGAGCAATTATATGCACAACTGAGAGAAGTAAAAGGACAGTTTGAGTAATTTCATGATGTGTTAAGCATTTTTATTTTTGAGTTTTATTAGTTTATAAATAGGTCAACATGTTCTAGAAGCAGCTGAAGAATTCTGGAAGAATGTAGGCAGAATTCATACAGAGTCAACTTTTAAGAGGAGGATAAAAATAATATTGCACCTGATTAAAAGCACATTCAGACTCACAGGGCAATCTCATTATCAAAACTGTTCTAGAAAAGACAGAGGAAAATATATACTTCCACATTTGATAAAGGAGAGAAGACAAATTCTAGAATTAGATATGAAAACAGAGATCAGAGGACCTTAGATATTTTCTATCTTCTACTGGAGGCTCATGGCAAAAGTCAATCCTAAGACTTTTGCCAGACTCCTAATTTGTTGCTAGTTTATCTTCAGCATTAGCAGGAGAAATAGTTGTGGGGCACATTTACTTCAGATGTGGAATACACTTCAGATATTTTGGTACCATTGTGCCTCTCTAGCAAAAGGCACAATGCACTAGCTCAGGGGAATGCTGTGGAGAATTCATCAGTGCTTCAGAGGTACAAAACCATCTTTCACCAGGGTACTTCACATAGATGTAACACCTGCTAACATTTGCTTGCTCTGAAATGTAAATCATCTTAGGCTACATCAAAATAATTGAATGTAAGTGCTGTATATACAACTCTAGCTCTGGTTTCAGAGTTGTTCAGAGAAAGGATCTGGTCCAAATAAAAAGTTCCAAGTTGAGTGTGTAAGGTAATTCTGTCATACATTTCAACACTAAATAGCAAAGCCCTTGGTTTCAAGCCCAGAAAGTATTTCTGAATTCTGCAATTTAACAGATAGCCTTACTACAGCAGATTTTTCTGTTTGAAACAATGCAGAAAAACTTTCCCTTGCAGAAAACTGCAAAAGATTTTCAAATTTGTTTGGCAGGCATTCTCTTAGTAACGTGTAGTAAGAACAAGAAGAAAATCCAGGTTTCTTACTTCACAAAGTAAAGCTCACCAGGGTTTCTCCCTTGAGCCTATCAAGTCTAAGAATTTGAAATTGTAGGCTGGTGCAAGAAAACATGGTGACAGCATTGCTGTTTTGCATTTATTTGAAAATGTTCAGGTCAGCATACAGACAGAGAGTTCTTCAATATAAGCAGACCTTCATTTTTCATGTAACACCAACACTTAGAAGGAAAAATGAAAGAGTGGTTGGTCCTTCAGGGCACGTCTACTGAGTCAACATTGTAAATTTTGCAAGGATCCCTTTTAAAGATATTCAGAAGTTGGAATACCAATAAGGAAATAAAAGCTTACTCAATGTGATCAGTAAACTCAAAAGAAAATACTGAACAGGGACAGCTCCATGGTCTGTGAAGTATTAAAGAAACAAACTAGTTTTTTCCTAACTAAAAATCACCAAAATCCCAATTGCTGTTCCATCTAGAACTGCCAATGGGTAAGGCACTTCTTAGCTGCAGCTGCTTCTTCCTATTGTATTATTTAACAGGGTATTTGATCTTCACTTTTCTCAAGCATTCCCCACTGAATTTGTCACACCCAGATCAGACATTAAAGATTAACCATATGGCCTCTATTAAAATTAAAGTACAGCAAAAAATCAGCTAAAACCAGCTAAATCATCTAACACTGAAAATTATACCTGGCATAAACCTTCAATCTACTCACAAAGAATTCAATTGAACAACTTATTTTTACAGCAGATCAGAGAAATGACATGACTACTCTTACATCGTTTTTCCAAGGAGTTATTAAGACATTGCATAAGACATTGTCATATGTGCCTTAAAGTCTGATCATAATCTAGTTTAAAATCTTCAAGGCAACAGTCATGTCTGCAGCTGTTGAATATATGGAAAAATTTGGGGAAAATTTATTTCAATTTTTTTTTTCCACAGATAAAACTCACAGCCTCTGTGATGTGAAATTATTTCTATTTACTTGGCAACCTGCACTGTAGCCAAGCTTAGACTTTTTGTTATTCAGACAACATATTAGGAGTCACCTAATCAATTTATCTTGGAAGGTAAAAGCAAATGTCACATTCCCTCTTTCTCATGTATCTCTCTCCTTTACAATTCTTTACATGTAATGTAACCATTTCTAAAGCACAGTTTGGTAAGGAGCCTTTCCATTAGGTAATTCTGAGTGTTATTACATTTGGCATTATGCAGGACTAATAGAGTAGTATCTTGCCCACAAAATACCATGTAATGCAGACTGGAGTCATAATAAGTCAGCATATAAAGAATATCAATTTTATAGCTATGACTTGCATTCCCTCCTCCCTCTCCGCCTTATAAGCTTAGCTTCCTTTTCTGAGGAATGATTGCTGAAATGATTTTGAGAAGGGCTGTGCAAATGTACTTGTTATTTCAATGTTTTATCAGACAAAAGAAAATCATGGAAATGTTTGCAAAAAAAATGTTCACTGATGTATTTACATTCCCCCCCCCCAAATTATGATACATTTAAAAAGAATTTAAGCACAAATATCTTCCCATCATCTTTCCCAAGTAAACAAGTAGGATGTTGCAAGACACTGCTAAAGCAAGTAGAAAGCTGAAATAAGTCTACCCCAAAAGCAGGGCAGAGTATAAAACCTCCTAGGCTTTTCTAAAAAAGGTCAAGAATCCTTTCAAAAGACCATAAGTCACAGATTGAAGATTTTTTCTGCCCATTATTATATTTTTTTATATTAACAAAGCAGACTCTTAGCGCAGTGTTATCTCTTGCACATCCTACTTATTTTACCAAATTTTAGAAACACACATTTTCCACTGAGAAGAATATTAAAAAACCTTTTTCATATGTGGCCCTAAGATGTAAGTTGCACTGAACAGTGCATTTAGATAGTATATATAATTATTAGGCATTATAGAATTGGTGTCTATGTAGAACTGTATCCAGTCATGACCTTATTAGAGTCTGAGAGCAATTTGTTCTGCCAATGTCAAGTCACATTTTAGTTCAGGATAACAGCTACTATATTACAGGTGATGCAGAAAGTACTGCATTCTAGAATTCTAAGGTTTCATGCATTAAGGTTTTAAAACATATTATACCTGTGTTCAGTATTATCTGTTTGCTTCTGCAAGTACTGACACACCCAACTTCAAGGAAAGCACACACAAAATTTATCTTATTTCAATGTGTCTTATATTTTGTAAAGCAGCTGCTGCTGTAGATTATCAGTACTCCTGTTTTCACTAAACACTGTCAATTCTAAATAATTTAATTGTGTATTGTAGCATCAGAAAGCTACAAAGCTTCAGGAGATAATTAACTTCATGAAGAAGCTTCTTTTCATTTTATTCTTCAGTGCCCATATAAAGATTGATTTTGCAGGTGATAAATGCTTTTAAAGGTAAAATAATATAAGGAAATCTCTTACCAAGCTAGTTTTTTTGCACATTTCATCCTAAACTTTATTGCCTAGGATGAGTAAATGCTCCAGACATGGCATCAAGTTTGGAGATGATGAAAAGAGAAACAAAACCAAAAGGGCACCCAATTAATACAGAATGGTTTGGTTTTAATTTTTTTTTCTTTTCTGTAGTTTTGCCACTGTACAGCAACTGGGATCACTATAGTTTTGAAGGAATTCTTGCAATTTTACTTCTAAACCATAAAAAATGTGAATGCTATTAATGTAAATTGTTTCATACACTTGTGCTGTATAATTTAATCAGTAAGATTTTAGACAGAAAGACATTTTGTTATCTTCCTACATCCGGCTAATTAGAATACAAACTACTCCTCACTCGGCTGGGAGGTCTTGCCTTTATATATTCTTTAAATTAATCTGAAGACATAAGGCTTTCAGTCATGCCCAGACACACAATCAGCGACATACAAGCTGACAGTGCTCTTTCAAACAAATCTGCTCTGAAGCAGAACCGTTTTGTGCTATGCCTGCATCTTCTTTTCTCTCCCACTTAGAAAGATGGCCTTGCCCTGCTGATTCGTGCGATCTTCTATCGCTACAGAAATGGTATTTGGGAAACGACTGATGTTTTATCTCTCACCCGCTACCACCCTCAAGTTCACCCACCTCGACTTTCAGTGTTCCTACCCCAAAGATCGCAACAAGTAAGGAAACAAACACGGAAACCGCCGAATGCTCTAATCCTGGCTTTGAGCTACAGCTTCTGACGAGAGCTGCACCTTCACTTCTCATCTAGCACCACCTACTGCCCACGGCGCGCAGGGCCCGGCGCCGCTGCCCAGCCCCGGCTGGAGGAGCGCGGGGAGCCGCGGAGCTGGGCACGGGTCCGCACCGTCACCGAGCTGGGCACGGGCCCGTATCCTCACCGAGCTGGGCACGGGCCCCTTCCCACACCGAGCTGGGCACGGGCCCGCACCGTCACCGAGCTGGGCACGGGCCCGTATCCTCACCGAGCTGGGCACGGGCCCCTTCCCACACCGAGCTGGGCACGGGCCCGCACCGTCACCGAGCTGGGCACTGGCCCGTACCCTCACCGAGCTGGGCACGGGCCCCTTCCCACACCGAGCTGGGCACGGGCCCTTGCCCGCACCGAGCCCGTCGCCGCCTCAACACCTGCTCGAACTTTGCGCGGTTATCCAGAGGCATCCATATTCCAAAGACTGCTCCGGCAGAGTTACAAGGAAAAAGCTCCTGTGTTTCCAGCAGATTTCTCTGCTCGTACTTGAAGTTGCTGTCACCTTTGGGTAAGGGCTTCGACTTGAATAATACTGTATGAGATACAGGAATGCCATCCAAAGATGGTGGAATATTTACTATGCAGTTTCACACAAAGTAGAAAATAATCAGACTTAGAAATGAAAATGTAGACAGTTAATTCAGTTTGAGCTGATGGCAAGTGAGGAGACACTAATTACTCACTACCGAAGTACTACAGGTGGGTAACAGCACAGATGTCACTAAACACAGGGAAGGTTGCTTCCAGGATAAAAAAAGTTACACATCAGCCATGACTGAGGTATGGATTTGCCTCCTAAGAAATGACAGAATCACTATATTTTGATAATGTTAGTTACAGCTGTGCTAAATGCAATTAGCTAAAAACAGCATTTACAGTAAAGAACAAAAAATTGTTACTTAGAGAATCAATGCCTGGAGGTCATTGCTACCTTGGAGTACTGGGATCCTGATGTCTACAACCGTGATTAAAATTCTGCAGAGAAAGCATTATCAAATTAAAAAGATACATACTGTGTAATAAAGCTTCCTCTAAGTGCCTTGTCATCTTCATCACAACAGCTACACAGATTATTATAAGTACACACTACATATTCTTTATTCTTAAACACATTATGAAGTTACATACAAGTCCTTAAGTTTTTACTGAGTTCTAAGTAAACTAAGATAATAGACCATGTCAGTTTATTTCCTCAGATGCTGCTAAGTATTTAGTGAAAAAGTATTCAATACTATGCCAAGCAAATGTCTTTTGTTTCAAGTGTGTTGACATTTAGACAGTGAAAGACAACCATTGCAATTCTCTCTTGGTGAGTTACAGTGCTGGTTTACACTTGCAATCCCATCTCCAGTTTTTTGAGAAATCTTTACTCAGATCTGATTGATTCAAGCACTAAAACTCAGAAACAGAGAGCCCCATACCAGAGAAACTTCATAAAACCTGAAAACTATAAGGCCTCAGAACAACTAGTTAAACTAGCCAAAAACATCATTTCAGTTGAATATGCAATATGACATGACATATTTTGCTTCCAAATTTCTCTGTATACTTTTAACATGGAAAACTCCAAAATTAAAAAGAAACTTTAGTCATAAAAATAATTCTTCTGAAAAAATAAAAAGGATTACAGGCTATCTGGAAAATCACATTTTTAAAAATTAGTCTCTAGCAGCCTACTTCTAAAAATTAGCTCCAAATTTTTTCCTGTTACTGGTAATAACATAAATCTTTAAATAACTTGCAAAATGATTAAAATCATGGTCTGCTGACACCAGCATATTAATGCAGACAGAACATATCTTAACAAAATACAAAACTGAGATGGCAGTTGACAAGCCAAAGTTAATGAAAAAGATATGTAATGATATTAATATACAAAGCAATTATGGTCCTTGTAGGAAACATTCAACATCTAAAAATGAAGGAAATGCCTAATATATATGTTCAATATGAAAATGTTACTGCCATTAAACTAGGATTTTATTTAAATAATGAAACCATTTACATTGCTGAAGTATTAAGTATGCTATCTCAACTGAATATATTAAGCAACATAAGAATTACTCTGATTATCAAATAATAAATCAATGCAGAAGGTTAGATAAGCTGAACAATGACTTAATATCTCCAACTGAATCTCTGATTATGAGTTGAACTTAGAAGGTATCTGATGAAAAGGTCTAAATGAAAAGATATAGTGACAATATTTGGATTTTATTTGGATACTCAATGGTAAGCCATAGTATTCTATTGATTCTTTAGCAAACAGTAGTGAAATCATGAAAGAGAGGTACAACAATGGTGTAAATGCACAAGAGAAAAGAAGCTTCTAAATGCATATGAATGAACAATTAAGAGCACCTTCCATGAAAATGTGTACAGGGAAGCACTTATTTTTGTTTTCATTTCCACAAAAACGGTGTCTTTCCTGTAGTAAGTTTTAAAAGAGTTAAAGCACAAGGAATGCAAAACTACATGACCCACAATTTCTTTCAGTCTTTAAATAGAGTTATTTACTGGTCTTGGCTGAACTTAAGTCCATCTGCCATCATGAATCTGGATCAACTGAATGTCTTCAGGTAACTTGGGGGCAAAAAAATCTTCTGAATTCTTAATCAAGTTTTATCAGTATTCATACATGAAATCTAGATTTACTAGAGAGAAAAGAGAGGAAAGAAACAAATGGGAAATCCTAAAGTAAGGGGAAAAAAGGCAAGGTGTGGATGAATATAATTTTAATTTCATAGCCAGAATAATTGGAATTGCTATTTCTTTATGAATCAGAAAGTAATAATACTGGCTGTTAAGGAGGAATATACTCATGACCAAGAGAAATTGGTAATAATGCATCCCTATTTACATGTTAGATATGGTTAGATATGGGAGAACAAGAGCAGATGTAATTTCATAGTAGGATTCAATAGTCTCTAATTAGTGATCTATTTTCTTGGTTTACTTAGTCATACTTATTATGAAAAAACACTGTATGATTTCTCCTGTCATGAGCCAAGATAAATTCTCTTCAGAGAGGTAGATTCGATTCAACCACATTCATCAGAATTGTTCACTAGAAGCCAGAATGGCCTATCACAAAAAAATACTATTTTTCCTATAGTTCTGCTATAAAGACAGAATTTATTAGTGGGATGCCTATCCACTGAAAGCCATAATGTATTTAGAAATGAAGAGGCCTTTACAGTGTGTCTGTGTACATTCAGTTTTGCCTTGTAATCACCTGCAAGTTTCCTCTCTCAACCTGCTTTGGAGATGAGCATGCTGTGTTACCTCCTTGTGCTGTTGGCACAAGTAAGGGTAGGTCTGGGGCATCGAGAGGAAAGAGTGGAATCCACTTTATTGCTGTAGTGGGTCCTTTACTGGAAAGCTGCCTGCAGGAAAGCCTCATTTGGGATCCTGACTAAGGCTGAAGTTTCTATACCATAGCTCTGCAACACCGTCTCTCCACATTCCCTGCACTATGTATCCAGATTCTAACCATTAGAAGGCACATTTGTGAAGGCCCTCTATCCTTCCCTTATTTCAAGGTAAGTGGAATTCATGGAAAGATGTAGTCTCAGATGGAAATAGCAAGTGGGTAAATTACATTAGCCTTCTGAAGTGTAAAATGGTGGGGCTCACTCTGTTTCAAAAAAAAAAAAAAACTAGCACATGCTAAAACCATTGTCAGTTTGCTTGAAACTTCGTACACATCCTCTAAATATTAGCTGCTTCTAATACTAATACAGTGCTCTACTTCAGGATGGAATCTGCTGGCTTACTGTCTGTGTAAGCAGAGGTGATCCACCTTTTAGCTATGATCCACCACTTGAAAGATCCCCCCATCCAGACTTTGATTTATTCCAGCATCATTCAGAACTCTCTGTACTGCTAGATTTGACTACCTCCGCGTACTGCAGCTTCTCATACTTCACAGCTGCCTTTGAATGTCATCCGTTAATTTCTCCCCTCATCCTCTGCAGAACTCTTCCTACTGCTGTTAATCAGGCCATTTTGTTTTCTAATTTTAAATCTGTTATAAAACCTTCTCTCTCCACCCCCAGTGCATATGGGCAGGTTTTCTTTTACTGCAGAGCTCACAGATACCAAAGTTAGACATTATTTATCACTAACACTGTCTAATTTATCCACCATTACTTGCTTCGTGAAGTTTATCTAGAAAAGAAAACAAACCTGTGCTTTCCCTCCTTCACTACTTAAAGCTGTTTGTAAGGAATAAAAATGCTTCCTTAAGGCATAAAGGAAATCAATGACAGAACTCATACGGAAACTTGAACATCCAGGGCAAGTAGCAGATCTGTAGGTCTGCACAGTGCTCTTAGCATCACAAATGCAGTTCACAGTGTTAAACTTGTCCAAATTCTTGACCTAGTGTGTGCTGCTACAAGTAACCTGTAAAAATCACATCTGCTGTACTGTAGTGCTTGCCAAGTCAGTGTTAAACATCTTCTTAAAGGTAGCTCTCTGTGGTCTTTGTTTGGAGAACCAAAAACAGTCAAGCTTTGGTAGATTTCCAGGTATACTTTTACACTTGCAGTGTCCATTTTAATAGTCACATGTAAGTGTCAATAATTTTTGATGGTCCAGCCTGAAGTCACGTATTTTCCTACACATTTAGCAACAATAGAGCAGAAGTTCTAATAATTTGAATGTAGCCTAACCTGACCCAGTCAAGGAAATATTAATATTATACTGAGAACAATGTGGCCTTGTACTATGCTCAAACACTGGTCATTTCTTATGCAATCAATGACTTTGACAAGAAGTCAGACTAGATTTGACCAGTGCTGACTGTACAGTAGCTTTACAAACTTATAGCATGGTGGGTACTTCAGCATGAGATGGATTTTGATAGGTGGTCATCATGCCAGTCATGTCTTTCGCAAAAGGAAGAAGAAAAATGGTAATTTAAATTTTATCAGTAACTTGCTGAGTTCTTTTATGGACTCAAAATGGAGAGAAGAAAATGGAGAAACACAAGATTATCAAACACAAAGTTGCTAGCCTTTTTAAACTGTAGGTGTTAATCAGTAAACACACTGTTGATGCAACATCATGAAGCAATAAGGGGGACTAGTGAAGTGAAATTGGTGTAGAAGACCATTACATTTTCTTGTCCATGCAGAAAATAGAATTTTTTACTCAATGTCTAATATTTTGGATATGGTGGCACAACTATTCAAATCTACTAGCTTAAGTTACAAATAGGCACACAAAAGACCAAACACATGAACAGTGTTTAAAAACCTCAAGCAGTTTGAGCATGGGGTTTTCACTGTAGCAAAAGAAAATCTGAACTTTAAACTAATGAAGATTATGCTGGAAATAATGGTATTGAATGTGACAAGAGACCTGAAACACAGAGACAAGGGGGAAATTTTGCTGGGATGTTTACCACATAAACCAACACTAATTCTGTCTAAAAAGAAAAATAAATCCTATTTTCCTTTAATTGGGAGCATATATTATGAAATGTCATAAAATGCAAATTATCAACCACTGGAAGCAATGAAACAGAGAAAAACTGCAGTGGGTAGGAAATTCCTTCCCACTTAAACTATTAATAGCACATGAATGTTTAGAGCATTATGCCTGCAACAGGCTACAGTCTTCTTCTACCTTGGTTTCAAAAACACAAGCTACCATAATATATGCTCTCTTAAAATTTCTTTAGAGACAACTCAGGCATGGAATAAAAATAGCATACAGCAGCTATTTAATCTAAATTGCTCTTAGAAAAATACTACTAATTGCCCCTTTTGCACACTACTGATTTAACATCCTCAAAAAATATATCTTTGTTTTGGTTCATTTATCTTCCCTCTCTCACGATTAACGATTGCACACAGCATACAGATGAATTTTTCCTTTCAGGCCTTTTAATTTATTTCCAAACAGTATGTCTTAACAAAAAAAGAGATTCTGTATATTATCTTTCTGATCCTCAAGTGAAGGTGCTCAGTGAAGATCCAACAGAATCTTAAATGTAAATCAAAACCAGTTCATTCAGCCATGGGATTCATTCTGTTTTTTCAATATCTATTCCACCCAAACCAGACAATTTCTTCTTTACTGCTAATTTGGAGAAATCTTGCTAGAATGAGCTGGATGGATTTTTCTTTTAGATATTTAGCTTGCCAGTACACTAATATCCTAATATTAATTTTTATTCCAGAAGCAATAATTTCTATGTGGAAGAGACACTTATTGTGTTTAAAATGGGTTGATCTGCTGTGTACAGCGAATGGGAACTGTTGCCCTCCAGTTGTACAAAAAGGCCAGTCTTTAAATAGTAATACCTGCATGTGTAGCAAAACCATTTGTTCCGCTGTTAATCAGGTGTATGTGAGGTTGAAGGTCTTTTTTAACCTTTATTTTAAACTTATTTCAACAGAATTGGAATGCCATCAGATAGCATTTACTGTCAATATCAAATACTTTTATTTAGAAGACATTATGTATTTTCATAAAAAAAATATTGCCTTTCTCTGTTTTTTTTCCTGTGCATATACCAAGGAGATAAAAAAGTTGTGAAATTTCTAATGTCATTTGCAGATTATTCTGTTAAAGAAAAATACAAAAGATTTTCACTTTTCTTACACAGGCTATGTAGCATATACTAAAAATGTTCATTATCTTAATATCTGAATAGTGAATTCATGTATGTAAATAATATTAACAATATGCATTATATGGTAGAGGTTCAAAAGCACCCTTTTTCCAACAACCACCAGCCCATATTAACTGTTCCACAACTGTGATCTCAGGGTCCATTCAAAATTTATGTGACCAATAACAGTGATTTTATCTGGTGGGGTTAAGAGAGCTTGACCAGGCGACAAAGTGAAATTCTTTTCTCCTCTCTCTATCAGCATTACAAAAGTACTTACTTTTTACAGCTCTGCCTCCCTGGTGCCACAAGGGTGATTATAACTATCGATATGCATCCCCCACTCTTTTAAATGAAGACTAATGGTTTAAAGTAATGGCTGCTGCCACTTCTTCCAGCAGAATTAGAGCAGAACATCACAGGTAGGTCACTAAGTCTTCTAAACAAGGGAATCTTTGAGAGTATACATCACAGGAGCTCAGGATATATTGATTTTACCTGAATCATGTTGACACTCAGCTCTCCTCTGTCCAAAATCTCTGTTCACTCACAGTTAAACTTTAAATTAGGCAACTAATGATAAACATATGATGATGGACACTGTGGAAAAGGAAGTTATAAATGAAAAAGGAAAACTACACTTGTAAAGTGGCAACATTGCCATATCAGATGCTTCCTTTCTGCAACCTATATGAATATTTGGTCTTTTCTCCCACAATATTGTCACCACTGAAATAAGCAGTGTTGCCAAAGGACAAAAATAGCAACATAAGGCAAGCTAGAAGAAGTGATTTCTAGGTAATGCTTCTGAGAAAGATAGGCTGCCTTAGCAAACTAAAGGAAAAGGAAACTTCAAACCCAGTGCATTAGGAGAAAGATGTAAGTTTACAAATGCCTTTTCAAGCAAAAGGGTTGTTTGAGCTATTACAGAGACCAAACATGAAAAGAAGTAAAAGGTGAAAACTGAAATGAAAGCTGTATCATAACTGTTTAAAAACCTTTAGATTAGACTTAACTGAAAGGTGAAGATCTATATGGCTGGATAATCAAGTCTCCTAAGGAAGGAAATTAAACTGATGGAATAGCAGCAGGTCATAATACTTCTTTTCTGCTGGCTTCTATCTATTGACTAAAGTAGATTTGTCCTTCCTATGGGAATCTAAAAAGCCTGAAAAGCACAAGGAGAAATTAAGAAGTAGTTGTACTTGCTAGCATTCTATCTAATTGCCTGCAAACTGACATTTTTCATCCACAGCAACTGTATGGTTTAAGCACACTTAGAAGCTCTCAAAAAAAAAAAAAAGGTAAAAATGTGACTTTTCCAAGGGGTATTTTAGGCAACAAAAATGGAAAGAAGCAAAGTCAAATTTACAGTATCTGCAAACCCCTCTTATCGATTATATTCTTCCTAATCAGCTGGTGCACCTTCTCAATGGAAGAAGCTAGACATCTAGGTTATGCTAAATCCATGTTGAAAATACTAGAAATCTTGCCTGACAAAAATCCCAAGGAGGTATTTGGATGTAAAATATGTAAATATGGTTGCAAAGTCTGTGAGCTGTTACAGAGGAGATGGGCATTTGGGGAAAGCCAAACACAGAAAAAGCACATTTAGTGCTATAATAGGGATCTTGTTACTTATAAAAACTATTAAAAATTCTTTTCACTGGAAGAGGTTTCAATGACAAAAAAACATTTTTCAACCTTTTTAAGTGCCTAGGGACTAAAAGATAACTGATTCTTATGAAAATACTATTACAAAGTGCACTATTTGCTTAACAAAAACCCAAGAGTATACATGCATGAAATGCACAGGAGACTGTTTTTTTTCTCTGTTCATACAGAACAGTTTTAACATTTAGGTACTTTGTTCCCTGATAGGAAATGCACACACAGGCCTGCCAGATGAGGCAAAGAGATCCTTTCTTTTACAGTACTCACTCATCTCTTTTCAGACACAGCCAGAGGGGAAGTGAAGTTCTGTTGGCCTCAATCCTGTTTCAAGGTCCATTCCTGCATTTTATGCAATATCATTTTAATATAAGCTTCATAAGGGATGATGGCAGGAAGGATGAGACCCAGCATTTAGTGAGTGTCCCAGCCATCAGGCTATACAATATCTCTGCTTCTTGCCTCTTTTTTCTCTACAGAAATGTCCTCAGAAGCTGAGAAATCTGAGTTCAAAACACCTTAGACTGCGGACAAAAATGCCTTCAAACGTCTTCTAGTTCTGTTTATACAAAAATATTACACAGAAGTCTATGGGCTAGGAGTGCTTCGTTAAAAAAAAAAAAAGAACCCAAAACAAACAAACAAATAAAAAAAGCAGAAAAACCAGGAATATAGTCAAAAGTTCTATTGTTGTTGAATTCTGGCATATAACTGTACAGCAAGTGTCTCGTGTTTTTAAATGGAACCTCCCATACATATTTTCTGGGTCTCTCAATGGCCTTGCTACCACACTGTTTAACCCACCAGACACTGCTGCAGCTGTGCTGTGGCTCCTGGAAGACTTTAAAAGGTGAGGAACCTGTAGGTCTTAGGAGCCAAGAATACCAGGTGGTGGCTGAACACTGGGTCTTTAGTTAGCAGTTCTGAACTTAAAAGCTTTTTTTTTTCTTTGTCTGGCCTAGAAAGACTGAAAAATATATTCTGCAAACACACTGAATTGTAACACATCAGACACTGAGTGGGAATTAAAGAAATATTTCAGGAGTGATGAGTTAAGAATTATTTACAGGATTACTAATCTATAATTAAATACAAAATTTAAACTGTTCATGTGGTCAAATACCTTGAAGATAAGGTCAGTCTGACCTACATCATGACCTTCATAAAGTTCAAGTACAATTCTCAGCTATTTTTTTCACATATAAATTTTAATTAATGCTTCCTTCTGATTTGTACAGAGTCAACCAACACAGAAAACACTTCTAAGCACTTCCAAATCAATTGCTAAATGTGATATAAGGCTGGAGCTTGGTTTGTTTGGGTTTGTTTTGATGGTTTTGTTTGTTTGTTTAGTTTGGGTTTTTTTACATTTCGTTTTATTAGTTACTTCAGTCATCTTGTGCATTGTGTAAATAGAATTCAATAAATGTTTAACAATGTTAGCTGGTTATCTGTAATTAATAGTAAGGGTTAGGGGATGCTGATGCATTTAAAACATAGTTTCATTTTGTTTTTCATGTAATAGGTTCTTGGGAGACTTCATGATCAGCAATAAAAAGCTAAAAATACTCCTTACAGATCTGAATCTCCACTATACTAGGAGACTGAAAACCAGATTTTATAGATATGTGGTGCACAAAGATTCAGATAGATACCTGGCATGTTTTCAGAAGAGCTTAGATGCATAACTGCTATAGTATCCTGGAAACAGGTCTTGTTGAGAATTCTTTGATGAGATGACAAGCTTATCTGGTAAAAGCAACAGTGTGGATGTAATAAATACTTGCAAGGCTTAGCACTACATGACACTCAGGGTAAAATTCCACTTCCACTACTTGATATCAGTAAGACATGTATTTAATGGACACAGAACCTGCTAAATGACAGACTCCAAGATTTCAGAGAGAACTGGGAGTTAACAATCTGTTCTGGCATTTTGAACAGAAGTGATGCAGAGTCACAATGGCATCCTGAGCAGTGGTAGCGCTCTGGGTTTTTTGATAGAGGCGACTCTCTCATCCAGCATCCACTCTATAGTAAGAACTTTGAGGCTCCTCTTCCAAGGGCAGTGGTAAGCTGGGTTTAAGCGTGAAACACATCTGAGAGGGATTTTTACTGGTGTGAGGATAGGCTCCACCATCCCTGGGTGAAGTACTCCTGTGCCTCACCACACATTTAGAAACATGGTCAAGGTGGCAAAGATGGGGCAGCCATCCTGTCTGTGCTGTCATATGAACACTGACCCATTTTCAAGTAATAGGATCACAGAATATTCAGACTTGGAAGGGACCCACAGGATCATTGAGTCCAACTCTCAAGTGAATGACCCACGCAGGGATCAAACCTGTGACCTTGATGTTATTAGCACTATGCTCTGACCAGCAGTCTAGCTGAATAAAGAGAAAGCCAAAGCTCTGAGCAAGGCAGGCCCAAGAGGGAACACTGACCTGGAGAGGACGTGCAGTTGGACATGAGGCCTGGAAGCAGCCAAGCCCCTGGGATGAGGCTCTTCTACAACAACCCTCCTAGGCCATGCTCACTCTCAGAACCCTCAGTGCCCCTAGAGCAGAGCCTAGCAGGGCAGGCAGCAGTGGGACAGTAGTGCCATGGCAGGCTAGATGTCCCCGGGCTGTGCCACACTCCTCTCTGCCTGGGAGAGGAGACCAAACATCACCCATATATGCTCCCTGCAGTGACATCTGTCTTCATTTACAGATGTGATGACAGAAAACATGCTTAAAATTGGTGCCTGCAGCCGGCAGAGAGATTTGGGAAGACATCCCAACTCCCAGTACTGCAGGCACAAAACCACCGCTCCTTGTATTACTGCATGGATGGTGTCTGACTTCAAAAGTTGGCTGACATCAAAAATAGTGAAGGTTATGTTTGCTGACAATTGTATTCATTATGACTTTTTTGGGGGTTTTCTTAAATTAATTAAGCCATTTTGTTTTTTCCCCTCTGCAAAGACAGCAGACAAGCTGTATTTCATATTCTCCACAGAAAATCCATGTTGGCAGTTCCAGGCTTCCTGTCAGGTGCTGTGGATGGTGGGTGCTGCTGGAGACACTGGGAGGGGGCAGCTGCCAGCTGGAGGCTGGGTGTGAGGTGGTGCCACGGTGGATGCACACCTGGCTTTGCTGGCTGCTGTGACAGCACTGCTCTCATTGTGCTCCCCTTTCCCTCACCTGCAGTTTAAACCTTGTTGTTTCACCAGGTGTGATTTGAAATGCACTGTAAACCAGCTCAGGGTATGAAAGGCATTGCCACTACCAGCGGTGGCACAGGGAGAGAGGTGACATGTATCTGACATGTGCTCTGTGTGATACCAGAGGCAAAGCCACTGTCTTGAACCTCTGGAGGATCTCCCTAAGGACTCAGCCAGTGTCTTCAGCACAGTAGTATAACCGGGGGATAATGTATGTTACTATCTGAAGAGACATCACTGGCAGTTAGATGCTATTTTTACTTGTCTACCATTCTTTGAAAACAAAATCTTGTTTTTCTTCATCTGTCTAACTTCCTGGATTCCAGAAAATGCCAGTGGCAGGTAAAATGAAAATGTTACCTTCAGACATTTATTAAATACAGAGTTATCAAAAATGCATTATTTGAACAAAAGCAACAAAAAAAGTTCAGTTTACTGTAAAAAGGTAGCTTTTCTGTGGAGATTTTATCTTCCACGTTTACAATAATACATCATGCTTAAAACAGCAAATGATAATGATAAATTGAGAATGTATATAATGTGAGTCCATAAACATTACAAGTATATAAAGTAATAATGGCAAATATGTGAAAACCCATAAAGATGAGAAAAATACAAGATTTGAGCAATTAAATAGGAAGCTTCTGAACAATAGATGTAATAAAATGCAACAAAGGGAGAGTATTGCATACTTATTTTCAGAAGTAGTCAGGTTAAGAAAAGTTCTGGGAATAACTAAATTTCTGCTTTTCATGGCATCTTAATTTTTTTCCCTTCTCTAATTATACTGGCAACTAATTATTTAAATCTTGTTAATTAATACAGTGCTACAGATCCCTATCAAGTGCATTACTTGCTATTCACTGATTACTTGTCTCTGTTAATAAGAAACATCTATCCAGTTAAGAAAAGATAGCCAGTCACACACCACTAAAATGGACAGTGAATTACTGAAATAAATAAAACTTGAAGGCACTTTGTAGGCAACAAGTACAGAAAACGTCTATCCTAATCTGTTCATAAATACTTAGGAGAAGTCAGCACAAACATGAGTGGGAATGCTTTGTAAATTATTTGAAGATCAGGGAGAGCCAACAAATCTATGGTGAAATGCTGGTCTTATTAAAAATCTCCAGGAATTTTGCCAATTACATTAGCACTTTAAGGGTTTCAACTCTGTAATCTCATTTTTATTGATATGATTTAGATGGCTGTAGAGACTCATGTTTCTCTTACACTAAGGCAGATTCTCTGTGTCTTATACAAATGGTTGATGCCAGCATGCTTTCTGAGGGACTATTCATGAAGTCAAATACCATCTAAGAAGTGCAAACGAAAGAGTATGATCAGAAGTACTTCTGATTTTTCTGTCATCTCTATCATATTTTTAATTCATAATCTCTTCGTCAGAGGGTTGTTCAGAATGAGCAAATTCATGGTAATGTCTGGTTTTTAGCTTGGTTTCCCCAAGGAAAAAAGCTTGTACAAAATTCTGCCAAAATTCTTTCCACTACACGTAGCTTTTGAGCCTACTGCATAAATCTAACCAACTCTAGCAATGCGGTAGGGGAATGAAAAGTAATAAGTGCAGCAAGTTTCACGAAAACAGGTAGAGACAGAGCAAGATGCTAATAATTCCTCCACTTACCCTACTCATCTTCTGAGATGTTGAATAGCACATGCAAGTGACTACACTTGAAATATAAATGTAACAAATCCAGTCGTCATTAATATTGACTCTCATTGAAATGGTTCATATTTATTAGCTGAGATTTTGTGAACTAGGAAATAGATAAATTCTAAATGTTTTAGACAATAATGTATTTCCCCTCAATC